CTAAGTAACTCCCTAATCATCTAATAAGCCACATTCCTTATTCTCCAAGCCCCACATATATGAAAATAGATAAAAATAGATAATATATAAATTAAACAGTATATAAATATAAAAATAAAAACTGAGCTGTGGTTCTGGTCTAGAGACCTGTTTAGAACCCAACATATTCCCCCTCTTGTTTTTGAGCCCCTGCGAAAGTATCATACAGATTAATTAACTTTGCCTCTTCTTGAGATTTCTGTGTTTGGGCCTCTAAGATTAATTGATCAAAATCTTCATCATATATCCTCATCAGAACGTAAGGAGTAATGGTCTGTGCCTCGAAAAGATTGGGAAGACTTCTGCAAGTATATAATTTATATACTCGCTGAGCCGCTTTTTGTATGTTGCAGAATTTTTTAGGAAAAGCTTCTTGGATCTTAGTTTTCCAACTTTCTTCCTTTGACCTTTCTCCTAGTAGGTAATAATACTGTAAAGAAATATTCAGATTTAAGTAACTTTTCCCCAAACTTTCACAAAGAAAGTTTATTTGGTCAGTACATGTAATTCCTATAACTTTCTCTATTTCAGAAGTTATTTTTCCATTCTTTTGTAGCTCTTTTAAAAATGTCAGCATTTTTAAATGTAGTCTTTCAGCATCTGTAAGCCTTCAGGGTTTTTCAACATTTATTTCGTGATCTATAGGGTTGTTATATGTAACTTGTTGTGAAGAAATATTGAGATTTCTAGACATTCTTTCCTTTAGTAATTGTTGTTGGAGAAGGACTATCATTTTCTTAATATTTCAGGGAGAGATGAATTGTTCATTTTAAATAATTTTTTTTTTTTTTTTTTTTTATAGATCATTAACGATATTTTTTTTTTATATATATTCTAGAAATACTATCAGTGTTCTAGTGTACTTTTCCAGCCTTGTTGATATTCATAAAAGAATATTCTTGGAGCGTTAAGATCCACCGCGCCAATCTATTCTGAGGTAACTTATACGAGAAAAGGGATTTCAAGGCAACGTGATCAGTATATAATTCGAAGTGAGTACCGTAGAGGTATTGACGATAATAAGAGATAGCCCATACAACTGCCAAACACTCCTTTTCAGTTATGGAGTAATTTTTCTTGGCTGGTAATAAACTTCGACTAGTATATGATATGACTTTCTCTCTTCCTTCCGAATCTAGTTGAGAGAGAATAGCCCCTAATGCTAAGTCTGATGTGTCTGTGAAGAGTAGGAAAGTTTTGGATTCATCTGAATAGGCTAATATCGAGGCTATGGTGAGTCTTCTTTTTAATTCTTCAAATGCTTTTTGTTGGTGGTTTGTCCACTTATAATAATTATTTTTCTTTAATAACTAATTTAAGGGTATGGCTATTTTGGTGAATCCTGGAACGAATTTATGATAGTAAGAGGCTAATCCTAAAAATCTACGAAGTTACCTCATATTCTGTGGTATAGAGAATTCTTCAACGGCTTTTATTTTCTTTAGATTAGTTAAAATTCCTACTGCATTTACTATATACCCTAAGAATTTCAATTCTTGTTTCCCAAAGAAATATTTTTGTGGCTTTAATTTTAGGCCAGCTTCATGTAGCTATTTAAACACTTCCTAAAGGTGGATGAGGTGATCGTGGAAGTTTGTTGAATAAATATTAATCTTATCTAGATAGATTACGACAAACTTCCCAATAATATCTTAGAAGATTCTATCCATTAGACGCTAGAAAGTTGCAGGAGCATTAGCTAAACTGAAGGGCATTACGTTAAATTTATAGATCCCATCGGGTATAACAAATACTATTTTCTCTTTATCTTCCTCAGCCATTTCAACCTGCTAGTATCCACTAGCGAGGTCCAGTGATGTGTACTAAGAAGATCCCTTCAAGGTGTCTAAGAGATCATCTATCTGGGGTAATGGGTAATTGTCCTTTTTAGATATTGCATTTACTTTTCTATATTTTATACAGATTCTAGTTTTCCTTTCTCTTTGTTTTACTGAGACTACTGGTGATGACCGCGGGCTAAAGGACCTCTGAATTATTCCTTCTTTTTCCCTTTGTTTAATCTCGTCGCTTAAAAATGTCTTTTCTAATAGGGAATGGTGATACAGCTATTGTTTGATAGGTAGAGCGTCTTCAGTAATTATCCGGTGGCGACACTTATTGGTTCAGCCAAGCTCGGAGATACTCTTAGTGAAAAGATCTGGATTTTTATCCAAGATCAATTCTATTCTCTCTTCTTGGTCTTTAGGAAGAGTCTAGATGTTTACATTGCTACTAGATTTTCTTCTTCATCAAAATAAAAGTCGAAGAGGTCAGCGATTTCTTTGTACTTCTCTACAGCTAGATCTGGTGGGTTTAATTCTGCTAATTCATCAACATGTGGTTCTTCATCCTATTTGTTATTCAATAATCCAGCCTCGTAATTGTATTCTGCATAATCGTCATGCTATTTAAATTTCACCAGGCTTCTCCTTCTCCTAAATTATTCGAATTGAGATTCTTGTACCTGTCATCCTCCCCAGCATCTTCCTTAGAACCTTCATCTTGTTCTTCTACCTCTGAAAATCTATAAATCCTGTCCTCTAACTTTTCCTCTTCAAATTCATCTTTGTTTTCCTCTTCCTCTTCTGTTTCTTCTTCTTTCTCTTCTTCAATAACTTCATTTTCTTTCTGGTTTATCTTTGTAGATCTTTTGGCTTCAAGCAGTTTTGGGGTGACCTTTCTGAATTCTACAGGCACGATTACTTCTTTTCCATCCCACGTGAGTGTCATTTCACAATTGTTCCAGTCAATTAACATGTTCACCTTCGATAAACAATTGTTACCAACTAATATATTATAGAAATTGGCATTGGTAACGACAATATCTATAGGAATCTTCATTCCTCCAACAACAAAAGGGAATTTAGCTATTTCGCTAATAGCTTTTTTACTTTCGCCATGGACGTTAATTATATTAATAGTAGATGGATGATCTATCTTAATCCCTAAATCTTTTAGGAGGTAGAATGACATAATGCTTCCTAAAGATCTACTATCAACTATCTGTAGAATTACTTTCTTCTGGATCTTCGCATCACAATATAGGGCAGTCGACTTCTGGATATTCTGTAGGTTCACATTACTCTTTAATTTTCTCCAGATAATCTTCTTCTTTTGTAGAGATCAAATTAAATCAGTCCTCATGGAAGAGGTGGCCTTAAACAACTGTCTGAAAGTAATATTGGCTAGTTTATCCCTAATTTCGGTGACAATTGAATATGGGGTGTCTAGGGACAATATTTGGGGGTATCATCCTCTATTTTCTGTTTTCTAATGAGGCAGGTTTCTTCTTCTTCTCCTCTGTAGAGTTACACCTCACTAAGGTTGGTTGTGGTTCTTCTTTGTTTTCATAGCCTCCTGCTATTTTTTTTACTAATACTGCTTTTCCTTCCTCTACTTTTCTTTTCTTAGCACAGGTTTCTATTGGATTATGCTTCCTTAATTCTACTTCTGCTGGAGCAAAAATAGAAGTATCTTCAGTGATAAATCCTAGATAAGCAGGATGTTCTTCAGATGCTTCAGGTTGGACTGTTTGTTGGAGTAGTAAGCTCATTAATATCAATAATGCTTCTTGTAGATTAGTGTCATTCTGAGGATGTATAGGTGGATTAGTAGCAATCAGAGGTGGGCAAGAGGTTGTACAATTCTGACTTATATGCCCAGAACACCCACAGTTATAACAGATGATGGGATTATGGTTTGGGTTTATATTCCTGGGGTTGGATTGGTAACTTCTCTGAGGCTGTCGCTGATCCTGAATTTGGACTATCATCTTATTAATAGCTTCAGTAAGTTTATTAATCACCATTTCAGTTCCATTCAGAGAGGAGATGAGGACTGGAATTGGATTATGCTGATGTTGGGCTACTTGGAACAGATAACCCACAGTTTGACCTAAGAATATAGCATACATGAAATTTTGCTTATAAGCATTCTCAAATGCTTTGGCTCTGTTATATGCGGCTTGTAACATGTTTGGAGTGAATGGGAAAACAGCTATAAATAATTCAGATTGTAACCTATTTAAAAACATCTGGGTTTTCACAGAGTCAGAATATTGGTGACCTCCGGCTCCAACTTAACAAATCATCTCTTCTACAACTACATGATATGCATCAACACTTTCTCCAAAGAATTGTTTTCTTTGCATAAGCTAGGCAAACCACTTTCTTTCTAACTCAGGGGTCCAGAACTTTGTAATAAAATTAGCCTAAAAACTTTGTGGAAGATTTGCATTATCATTCTAATAGTCGATTGGCAGGACCTAGTTTCTCATCATTACCCACCAAGTAGAAGCCAATCCTTTCAATTTAGAAATGATCATGGGAATTTTATGTGCATCAGCTATATGATTTGCTTCAAAGGCTTTTTCAATATCCTCAAGCCAAAAAATGGGGTCTTGTTCTCCTCCCATGTATTCAGGATATGTTACTAAATTAAGTTCTTAGTAAACGATAGGTATGTTTACTTGCGAAGGTTGCTCAAGTTGCATCTGTTGGACCAGTTGAGCGATTTAATTTGCCAAATTATGTATCGGGTTGAGGTTTTGTGGATTTTGGAGAGGTTGGATATTCTGTGATGGGGTTGGGGTAGTGGTGGTTAAGCCATTTTATACTTATTTCCTTCTAAATATTGTTATAAAAATTTCAATTAGGTTGGGGGACAATTCAAAAGTCTACACAACTGGCACCAAATGTACTATTGTAAATTGAGAGAGCAAACGTAAGATATAGTTTAGCTCCAATAGTTAACCAGGTAATCAATATAAATCAGTAGGATTATATGAAGAGTTGGGAGAGCAGGTATTATAAAGTAAAGAATTAAGTTAATTTGTAATGGGGATATTATAGAAAGGAGTATTGGGAATGTTAATAGGGAATAGAGTTGATATAATTAACAAGATGATTAATCGAGAGGTGATATTAAGAGGCGGGGTCAGAATGATTGATATTATTAAGTAACAGGATGATTCTAATCAATACAAGAATCAATGTTATACACCATTCTTTAATTAATAATGTGACTTAACCGATAGTCACTTCTAATTATAGTAAATTGATACTAATCGTTAAACAGAATTTAATACTTCGCTGTATACTTATTAAACATAGACTCTATACCAGTCTAGATCAAACAATTCTAATTCCACGAGGATGCAGATCCTAATTACTCAGTGAAAGGTCTCTTCAGCCTCAATGCTTACTTCCTTTATGTTAATTAAGATGCCCAGCATATCCTTCATACAATACTTTCATAAACGTTACGAGAAATCAATTATCAATAAGCGAAAGAAATTCTTTATTAATTTCTTTAAGATATATGGAATACAATTTGAAGGATTAGGGGTTTTTAGGGAGAACTAACTATTAACTAATCGAGAACTATCATTTAGGAAGGCTAAAAGGACTTCTATTTATACCTTTCGATTTCTATATAGAATAATTTCATTATTCTTCCTTCCCAA